GCATCTTTCTGAATTGTTCCTGCAAGTTACTTACTTCTCCTCTGCATGAAATAGCTTTCTGTTCAGCTACCAATTTTTCTTGCTGAAGGGAAGTGATTTGTGAATTTAACTGCTTAACAGTGATTTCCATTTGTGTTTGCGTTCTGGTCAGTTCCTCCAGCTCCCTCTTTAGCTGCACTTTTCCCCTTTGAAGTAACCTTAGCTCTTCCTGATATTTCATGTTTACTTTTTTCAGCTCCATGGCTTCTTGCATTACTTCTTCTGCCTTGCTTGTGGTTTTCTGCAGCTGCCTATCAAGTTCCTTCAGTTGCTCCAGGTATCCTTGTTCTACAACTTCTTTCTGATCTAGCTCTATTTTAAGGCGCCTTAAAGAAATATTGGCATCATCTAGTTTTTCTTTCAATAAGCGAGCCTTTTCTTCAGAGGATGCATTCTGTAGCTCAAGTTCATTCAGCTCATATTTTAAATCTTTAATAATTTTTTCAGACTTTCTGTTGGCAAGTGTTAGCTCATCTACCAGTTTCTGCAGTTCCTCTACATTTTTAATTTCTTGTTTTTCTTTGAAAATGTCTGAACATGTTGCTAACAAAGTTTCTCTTCCTATTAAGGTAATTTGCTTTCTAACTTCAGTTATTTCTTTTTCTCTGAACTTGTTTTTTCCTAGACTACCCTGACATTCAAGGTCTTGCTCCATCTCCTTAATTAGTTTCATAAGCTTTTCTTCTTCTGCAGTCTTCCTCTTCAGCTCTTCCATTAATGCTTTCTTTTGCTGCTCCAAATCTTGAAGATTTGTGTCCTTCCTCCTTAAATGCTCTTCAAAAGTCTTTCTTGCCATGTCACTTTCCTCTAACTGAATTCTGAAAGCCCTGAGGTTTTCTTCAACTAGGCTTCTTTGAGCCTCAGCTTTCAAAGTGAGCTGTTTTAGACGTTCTAACTCCCGTTCTGCAGCTTCCTTCTCCTGAGCAACATCATCCAGTTCCATGCGGAGTCGCTTTGCCTCTTGTTCAGCCTTGGCTTTCTGGACAGAAATCTCTTCTATTTTCTTCTGCTGTTTCTTGAATTCTTCCTCTGCAACTTCCTTTGCTTTTGGAAGTTCCTGTTCTAGTTGGAACTTCTGTCTCCTCAATTCCGCTAACATCTCTTCAAGTTCATTTATCCTTTCCATAAGCTTTCTGTTTTCATTTACTACTGCTTTTTGCTGCTGTTCCAGATCAGAATATTCATTACGTACAAGTGCCTCCTTATTCTTTAGAATCTGGAGGGAAAAAAATATGAGAAACATTATAATCTATTATTTCTAAATGTAATATTGGAAATAATGTTGCAATTTTAATGCATGGTTACATACTTACAAATTGCCTCTACAGCTAATCAGCAGCATAGATCGAGCGATTCCCACCACCACTGACACCTTCAGAAAGCCACAGTTAGTCAGAGGAAAGAGAAAGCTGCACAAAGAGATCCACCAAGGGATGTCCTCAAGAAGGCTTGCTTATAGGATAACAGCCATTCCATGGTTTGAAGATGCTGACCAAAAGTCTGCTTGCATGAGTCCTTGCTGCAAAACTACAGAGCAACTTCTCAGCAAAGAACATCATGCAAGATTAAAAACTCTCAGCATTTTATGGTTAGTTGAGTAAGAAAACAAGAGAATTTTAGTGCCTGTGATATCACATGATACAACCAGATGTTTGAAATTCATAAAAAACAAAATCATTACCCAGAAACCCCACTTAACTGAATCACAGGGAAACTATGTCCTTCAAAAACGATTAGTGTTTATGCTCTTCTCCTAATCAAATTCTTAGCTCTTATTTAAATTATTTTCTGAACATAAGTCACAGGTAAGATGCTTTTCTTCTAAAATAAGACTAGTGCAAATAATGTTGTAGTTTTTAAACTTCTGTTTTCTTCAACTGTTATTAACTTACAGAGATTCTAATACAAAGGGAGCTTTATTTTCTACTTATTTCCTACTAGATGGCATTTTTAAAAACGCTACAGTTTAAGGAAGCAGGATTGTTCTCTCATGATTGCAAATAACATACGCCTGCATATCATATAAAATCATTTAAAACTGTACAGCTGAGAATTTTTTTAAAAAATCACAGTAAGACTTTCACCTGAACAGCAATCACACTGATCCACAGTGCAAACATGCAGACAGGAAGTTTCTTTGTAAGGAAAGCACTGATCATGGATCAGACAGGCATGATCATTACCAAACTAAAAGTTGCAATATCTGAAGTAACCCATCCAAAATCATTGAGACTAAAGTCTGATTTCAGTTAGTAAAAGAAGTCTGGATCCGAACTACTGCCAAACAGATCTGAACATCTGAACAAACCAACTCTATAGCAGTTGCTTTAATCTTGAAACTGCTAAATGAGTTCTTCCCCAGCTGAATCATAAAGACAACTTCAAATGATAATTAAGAAAAATTCTGAAATTTTACTGTATAAATTTTATTAATACTTTGATTTGAAGTGTTATTTGTATAATTATACCCTCTTTTCCCCTTTCACTCTCTCTTCTATTTGGTCTGTCCCTTCTAAGCTCAACTCTCCTTCAAAGAATGCTTATATGCAACATCCCCTCTAATTTTCTGCTTAGCACTAGGCAGGTTCTCCATCCCCATGCACAAGGTTCCTGCTGTCAACAAAGCAAATGAGCAGCAACACTGGTTTGACTGTGTGGCACCGATGTAGCACTGCATAGCCATGCAGCTTATAGGGAACATTGCTTACATATTTGGTTTTCCTCACATCCTCCCACATTATCTTATTCAAGAAGTTTCGAACCATTATCCAATTGTTGAATTCAACTCAAACACTGAATTTACAATTTGACTGGCATTGCTTTACATCATAGTAGGATTTAATCTCTACAGTTCTGATGCACTCTAGATAACCTATGGTGTTTTCCTTAGAAATGACATAAAAACAAAATGTGTTTCCTTAGCCTACAGCATTTATTTGCTTTCAATTTATAACGCCTTTTTGATGGGATTGGTATTTTAAAACTGCATATATAAAGGTGTATGGGCTGAAATCCTGGTGCTTTGTTATAAGTGTGGAAAGCAAATGCATAACATTCAGTCTCTAGTTGACAAGTCCCTGCCAGAATCCTGAGTGTGCACTACAAAGGCATGCATGTCTCCAAGATTCCCAGAAACAAGTCATTAATTGGCAGCCAGAAGAAACTGAATGTTTTATAATTTGCTTTCTGAATATATAACAAAGAAACAGGATTCCAGCCCCTGTAAGTAATAATTTCCACATCAAAAACAATACTGAAACATCTTTTAATTTTCTCCACACTGGTTTCAAGTATCCTGGACACTCCCCCCCCATCTATAATTCACTTCTCATGATTTACTTCTTCCAGTATTGCTTCCTCAGTTTAACAATATTCTAATACAACATTCTTCTGGGCAATAATCTTTTATCTGGGCTCCTAGTCACTTTGACGGATCCCTAAGGAGTAATTTCTTACTTTCTGACTTTCCTTATTTCTCAAACTCAGTTCTCCATGTCCGCTTGTTTTCCCCTGCAATGAAAATAGTCTTCGAGGCTTTTTTAAGCCACTGGGCTGAAAGGTCGAAAGACCAGAAATTTGAATCCACGCGACGGAGTGAGCTCCCGTTGCTTGTCCCAACTCCTGCCAACCTAGCAGTTCAAAAGCATGTAAAAATGTGAGTAGATAAATAGGTACCACCTCGGTGTGAAGGTAACGGCGTTCCATGTCTGGTCATACTGGCCACATGACCAAGGAAACTGTCCACAGACAAAATGCTGGCTCTACGGCTTGGAGACAGGGATGAGCACCGTGCCCTAGAGTCGGACATGACTGGACTAAATGTGCAGGGGAACCTTTACAGTACTATGCAACTTCAGCCATTTATATTTTTCTCTCACACACTTCTATCTCTACCTTCCTATTCATGCCAACAGACAGGATAAATTTTATTTAAATCACAATTTAAATAGAAAAACCATGATTGAAATTGTGATTTAAACTGATTTTTGAAAAATCATTGGTTTTTATCCACCCTGCCATCAGCAAATTTATTTTCCTTTATAATTGCAGAATGAGTACAAGCCCAATTCTAAACTTCTCTTGCTCTACATCACACATTACAGGAGTCACACAAAATCATTGTTGTATGTGGCTCTGCCTTATTATCATGTTTTTCACAGCTGTTCAGATGGAAATCATTAGCTATATAGTTTTAAAAGCAAGAGTTTTGTATTTTCAGCACTGTCTGATGTCTATTATTGCTAACAATCTCTTCACGTTGATATCTTCCGCATTACACTGCTTTCCAAAAGGTCAGAAATTTCACTTACTTATTTGTGCAAATCTCAAGAGGATATTCATTTAAATTCATATTAAAACAAATCAAAAGTTTGCTTTCATATTAAAAGTACCCTGTTACACTTAATGCATGATAGTGATTAATGGTATAAAACAGCCACAGCCCAGAGAGATCAACATGCAAACCTATTTGCATGCACATATTTGAGGCCATTTCTCACAGATGCTGTGCTTACAGAAGTCTCAAATCAGTTCTTAATCTCACACAGTTTAAAAATTATTTTGAGATTTGTAACACAATAGATACGGCTGATACATCTTATTTTCCTGCAACCCCACATTGTCAGAAATGCAAAAAAGAACTCAGTGAAGGACTTCCTTTCACAGGCTTTTCTGTCCCGTAGTGATTTTTATAAAGACCTAACAATCTACAACGGAATGTTAGCAAACTACAACTGCATGAATTATTATGCAAACCTGTACGATGGATGGTCTAAGGAGGTTCCATGCCAGTGTCACTGATATGGTCATACAACAGGCGACTCCATCCTGCTTTTATATATACTATCATTATTTCATGAAGTACTGTATGCAATGAGTATCCATCACCTACATTTCCACTTAAATGTATACTTGTTAATTTCTTGTATTTCTTTCTCTCTGACAATATCTATGTCACTTACCTCTTCCTCTTCTAGCCTTTTCAATGAATCACCAACAAACTTGATATATTGAGTCATCAAAGTTACCAAAGCTGTATAACGTGTCCGTAAATCCATAAACTGCAGTGAAACACAGAGGAAGAGTACTTATTATGCTAAAGTAGAATGTCATGAAGAATTTTTAGAACAAAAGAAGTAATGAAGTATGTATTCTCGAAGGTTTTCATGGCTGGGATCCAATGGTTGTTGTAGGTTTTTCAGGCTGTCTGGCCATGTTCTTGAGGTTTTTCTTCCTAATGTTTCACCAGTCTCTGTGGCCGGCATCTTCAGAGGACAGAAGTCAGAACTCTGTCTGTGCTCTGGTGCAGTTTGTGGGCTAGTTGAGTATTTATAGCTGTGGGATCAGCTTTTTGTCCTTTTCAGGAGATTGGGTGATTATGGTGATCAGAGTGTTTTTGTTGTGAGTATATTGTTGTGATAACAATACACAACAATGTACTGTACCATGAGCAACAATTAATATATATTTATAAACATGGGACCAACACTTCTTCAATATAGCAGTGGAATTTGGACCTTCAAAAAGTTAGTATCTTAAGATATACCTAAGCAGCTTAAACACAGCAGAGAGTCATATGGCAGGGAAAGCAGAGATTTATATGAAAAGCTTGCCCTCCAACTTCAGTCATTCTGATGCCTTGGATGTAACAGCAGAAGTACAACCATAACTCTCCTGCCCAAGCCTGAAAGTACTGCTAATGAATGCCAGGCTAGTCAATAATTATTAACAATTTAATTTTGGTAGAACATGCTGGTGTGACTTGGTATTTGTGGCCTCAAATTTTAATATTTTAAAGATGGTTTTAAAAACTCTTCTTTGTCCACTTGTTTTCTTCTATGTTTGAGCTGCTTCAAGATAAAATTATAATTGACTTCTTTGCCCTAATGTTGGAATATCTTATTTAGCCGGCCTGCATTCTTAAAAATTATAGTCTGCTGCTCTTACATAATTGCTTAACTGATTTGGATTTTATGGTATATTGCACATTTTTATGTATATTAATGTGAAATGCCTTGAGAAGACTTGGTTTTAAAAGACAGAGTAAAATAATTCTATGAATAAACAAATGAAATTACCTCCTGGATAATAAAATCCGAGGAGCTCTGCATTCTTCGGCGTTTCACAGGAGATTTTTGCTGGGAGTCAACCATGGCTCTATATGTCATTGTTTGCAACTCATAGTCCTACAGAAAAGAAACAAAAATTAGGAAAAGTTGAAAGTTATTTGTCCTGTGTTGAGAGTCCTTGAGATATATAAACACATGTTAGTACTAGGGTAGTATAGCCTGAGAAGCTTGCTACTTTAGTAATTCTGATGCTATCCCTGCAGCAGCCAAAGCCACAGCAAATGCCCTCTGTTTAACTCAGATGACAACAAAGCAAGCAGAGCAGGGAAATGCAGCTGTTTACAGGTTGTTCCATGTTGCTCTGGTAATGCACATAGTTTCCATTTGAATGACAACAACTATCGGCCATGCCAACACCTGACTAAGATCATTTAGCCCAGTGTGAGTGTATATCATGTGACATATTCAGGATATACAAACAGCAGGATAAAACTTGCTGTCTGTATATTAAGTAAAGCTTGCATTTGTACAGAAGATAAGAATTTGAGAATAACACATATTTACGCAAACTACTGAACTTTACCTTTACTGCAGCTGAATATTGTTCTGCGTGTTTCTGGCATTCATCTAGTTTATTTTGTTTCATCTCAATTTCGGACACTAACATCTGTAAAAGAAAGGAAAAAAATCGGTATGTGACAATGGTCTATGCATCTTTTCCTTTTGTCTTAAAGGCTGACATCTGTCTTCCTGAAAGCTATATTAGACTCAGTTTCATACATGAGTCAAACATGGGTTTGTCTCTAAAAAGCAAGTTTGTTTTTCTCCAATCATCTTTTTTGTGAAGCATTTTTGTTTGAGCAAGAAAAAACTAGGGATGGGGGGGGAAACACTACTCCCTTTGGAAGGAAAAACACAATGTATTCACAATGTCTTGTGGCATCTTAAAGACAGAGAGGTTACTTACCTGTAACCATAGTTCTTCGAGTGGTCCTCTGTGAATCCACACAAACGGGTTTTACTGAGCCTGCGCAGGACTCCTTGGAATATTCTAGAGCTTTAAAAGACTTAATTAGTAAGATGATGCCCTGTGGCGTGCATGCTCCACCCGTCCGAAATCTCAGTTCCGGAATGTCCACCGCTGTCAAGGCTCTGTCTCCAACAAGCTCAAGACACCAAGTGACGGACAGTGGGGAGGATGGGTGGGATGTGTGGATTCACAAAGGACCACTCGAAGAACTATGGTTACAGGTAAGTAACCTCTTTTTCTTCTTTGTGGCCTCTATGAATGCACACAAATGGGTGACTAGCAAGCTCACTTACCGGAAGGAGGGCCATCACGCCAACAATGAAGTCAGAACAGCCTTTCCAAAACTTGCTTCCTTCTTGGTCCTGATGTCAAGTGGATAATGCATCACAAAAGTCAAGGGTGTAGACCAAGTGGCCACTCAACAGATGTCAGGGACTTCAATGCCACGCAACCAAGCTGTAGAAGTTGCCATAGCTCTCATGGAATGTGCCTTTAGCACCTCTGGCGGAGTCTTGCCTGCCAAGTTATAAGCTAAAGTAATAGCAGAAACAATCCACCTCGAAACTGTCTGCGAGGAGGCAGGAGAGCCTTTTCATGGGCCATGGAAGCATACAAAGAGTCTAGGAGAAGTGCGAAATGTCTTAGTCCTGGAAATATAAAATGCTAAGTCACGAGGGAGTGGAGCATGTGCTCAACATCAGAAGAGGGATTTGGAAACAACATCAGAAGGATTAACAGTCAATTAATATGAAAATCTGAAATCACCTTGGGAAGAAAGGATATATCTGAATATAATACAACCTTGTCTGTGTAAAATTGAATATAAGGGGTATCAGCTCGAAGAGCGGACAGCTCAATTGCTCGACGCACAGAAGTTATAGCCACATGGAACAAAGTCTTGATGGAAAGAAGTCTGAGATATGCAGAGGCCATGGGCTCAAACGTAGGATGAGCGAGTACACAGAGAACAACTTGGAGAGACCACTGAGGAAGTGGAGGCCGTGTAGGTGGGCGTATGTTCTGTAAACCTCTCAGAAATCTTTTCAAAGTAGGATGAGAAAATAAACAAGAGGTCTCAGATCCCACAGGCTGATACGAAACTATAGCAGAAATATAAGCTAAAGTAATAGCAGAATAAGCCAAACCTTGGTCAAACAGATAATGAAGAAACTTGAGAAGGGTGTCCAAGGAAACTGGAACCGTGGGCAATTTCCACGATGCAGCAAATTTGGTGAAAGTGTTCCACTTATATGAATATAATAATTGAGTAGAGGGCTTCCTAAGAAGGATTTCATGACTGCTAGCAACTCTAAGTGACTGATGCGCAGCAGTCTCTCTGAGCCTGACCACAAAGCGTGAATCTCACGATGACCACAGTATGCACCCCATCCTTTCTGACTGGCATGTGTTGTGACCTGTACCGTGAGCTGGATTACGTCCCAATACTGAGAAGATGGGGAGATGTGGTGATGCCTTGCTGCCCTCTTACACGGAGGGAACTGTAAGACTGATGCCTCTGAGTTCAAAAGATGGATGACAGTTGCCCGCCCGGTCAAAACAAGGCTAGAATGGGCTGGATATGACATCAGCCTCAGAATGGCCATGACTTGGAGACAAGTTCAGTATCAATACTGAAGCTTGAGCCTGAGTAGGAGGACCCAACTCTCCCGCTTCTGAAATGGAATCATGGTCTGAGATGTCTCTTGACAATTTCTCCAAGATGGGAGACAGGAGGGAAACGTGGACAAGTGGAAGCTCACGAGGCTGATAAGGCTTAGGAACCCGCTTAGCTTTTTTTTTTGCTTGACTCTGTCCTTATCCTTTTGTTTCTTATCAGACTGGGTCTTCGTCGAAACCGAGGAAGACTTCGACATTGAGATCTATGTCAATGCAGAGGGAGATTTTGGCTTGGAAAACTTGGTGGAGGTCCTTGGAGGGGGAGTAGTTGGAGCCAACAGAGGAGAGGGCTCAGATCGAGGCACTGGAGTAGGGGTAGGTTCCATTGTGGGGCTGGTTGGAGGATTGGAGGATTCCAAGGATTTTTCCCACAAGTGGGACCTAAGTCGTTGCAGACAGAGTTTAAGAGCCAGTTTTGTTAACTTTTTACACTCCAGACAGGAGTGAGTCTGATGACTCTCACCCAGACAGAACAAGCAACGATTGTGGCCATCAGTAAAATGAATTTTATTGGTACATGTCATGCAACGCTTTGATGGGCCTGAGGAGGCCATTTAAAAAGGGCAGGAAGGGAGGGGGGGACAAAAAGAAGAGATAACTCACGTGGAAACGTCCATAAATAAAAAACTTGATTAAGTCCATGATCCAAGAATTGAAAACGTTAGGCAGTCTGAAAGATCAGAAAATCACAAAATCGCCCTAGGAATCCCTACACGAGTCCGATTTCAGCAGTGGCTAAAAGGAACTGAGGTATTTTGGGTGGGCAATGCATTCACAGAGGCCACAAAGAACAAGTTGTTTTTATCTGGCATATGCTTTCATAGACTGCAACTCATTTTATTAGCTTCATTTGGTGAAATGGGTTGCAGTCTAAAAATATTTGAGTCAAAGATGCAAAGAACATGTAGAAGATGCAAGTGTTTGCAGGGATATTAAACTGTGTGACTTTGGAGGAAAAGTATATTTCTGTTTCTTACATCTCCCCATCCTGGAACTATCAGAAGGGATGCTTGCCTTATAGGCTTGTTGCAAGGATTACTTGGCTGTATTGGAAAAAGATGAAATTTGTTGTGTATATTGTTTGTGGGGTTTTATATTTTAATTTGTAAACATCCACAGTAGTGCTTGCACTAATGGTGTCATATATAATCAAATCAATTAGTTTTAGTCTTTCATATGCCACAAGACCATTGTTTCTGCTGCAACTGACTAACATGGCTATGTCTCCCTGGACATTTTTACACTGGATTAATAACAGCCCAACTTGTTTCAAAGCTGTATTCAGTGTATTTCAATATGATATTTAAGAGAACTGCCTTTAGCAGCTTAACTCAAATAATTTCTCTTAATTATCACCACATTTATCAAAACCATACAATGAAACCTTGATCTTGTACCTTTTGCTGGCTTAGTTGTTTGGCCAGAGCTTTACTGTTCTGAGGTGGATTTTCCTGAAACTTTTGTTGGGTTTCTTCAACTTGTTTAATCCAGTTATCAAGTGCACCATAGCTATCTCTGTAGTACTTTAAAGATTTATTTATACCCTCTAAATCACGCAATCTGGGTAAAAGGAGAGCAAACAATTTCAATGAGGAACAATCGCATTTCAATGACTGTCATAAGAAAATAATAGTTAACCCTTGATATTTCTACACTAGTTTAAAGTATTTCTGTGCACTGTCTAGCTGTAATCCTCAAACTGTCCTAAAAGGTAACACTGTCATTTGCACTAGACCACTTGAATGCTAATAATCACCAGAAAAGGCAATTATGCTAGATACACAACATTTACTTCACATTTGTCTTTCAAAAAGAGAGGAAAGTTTCAGTTTGCTAAAATGTTGTGTAGGGCTGTCCTAGATGGTGACAGACATCTTATCTGCACAGTGCTATTCTTCTAAATGCAGGGCATCCATATGGTAGAGATGTGGATACACATATTCGTGAACAAATATGAATATCCCCATCCCAGCTGCACCTAATGTGGGTCTGGCCCCTGGTACCGGTCTGTCCACTCATGCATCACAGCACCACTAAGGTCCCATTCTTCCCGCCAATTGCAGCAGTAGCTCTGCCCTCTCCCTGCTCAGCTGCCCACTCAGCAGCTGCATCCTCCTGTCCCCTGCCTGGAGTGGCCAGCCAAGCAGGGAGATGGTGGAGCTACTGCTGCAATTGTTGGGAAGAGCGAGGCCTTGGCAGCGCTGGGATGCATGAGTGGATGGGCCAGTTCCGGGGGCCGGACCCACGTTATGTGAAGCTGGGACGGGGATATTTATATTTGTTTACAAATACAAATATCTCCATCTCTACATCTAAGTCATATATCCTTCTCAGCTCCTACCCAGGATGCCTTAACTGAACTGAAGGGATATTGTAGGCTCCCAGAACATGCCTTCAATAGACTACAGACAGACAGCTGTTTCCTTGGGGCTTCTTTCCATGCCACCCTGGGGTGTGTGTACCTGAAGGAACCATATCATTCCTTGGGCCCAAAATACTCCCTCAAGAGTACTGTGGGCCTAGGCATATTCTCGGTAGAAGTCACAAGGAAGTACTGAACACATTAGAGCATGTTACAGGCCTTTCAAACAGAGTCTTTTAGTGCAAATGTATACTAGGTGGACTAAAGGCAACCAACCTGTAAAACGGAGTCTATTGTAAACAGATTGACATGTTAAAGGCCAAATAAACTACTCTCCATTTTAATGTATTCTGAAAATGATCTTTCTGAATCTGAAAAATATTCAACATAACATTCTTTGTACATGCATAACCCAACCAAGTCAAGTGTGCTATGAATTTAGGGTTCTCTCTCTATATATAGATCGAGCAAATATATATAGATCAATATGATTGAGGCCCAGGTAGGTCCTAATGTAGAATAGTGTAGAGAACAAATTGTAAGACTAAGACTGAACAGACCTGGCCTTGGAAACACATTGGTAATGGTAAATTCATTCCTTAAAAACCTCACATAATCTGGAAACCCAACTAGGGTTGTCCTAAATCAGAACTGACTTGACAGAACACAACACAGGCACACTATCTTTCCTAATCATCTTAAAAGCTAAGGTAGGGGTAGTATTTTAATGGAAACACTATTTGGCCATGGTGCTAAAACATGAATAGTGATTTCTGATGGGACTGGGAGCCTCCAGCATGCCCAAATTTACAGCTCCTAGGCCCATCTAGCTCCTAAAACATTAAGAACTAGAAAAATGAAACACTGTATGGATAACTACTGAGGTCCCATCTTAGTGACTGGGTTATATCTTAGTAGCCATACCGTCAAGGAAGGGGCTGCACCAGTCCCAGAAAACTGGGGAAAAACAAATCAGCAAACAAACAGATATCCACTTCTAGTTTTGATTAGGATGGGTTGGTTTCAGTGCTTAGGAAAGGCCTGTGACTCCTCCACTGCATAAAACAGCTACTTCTGAACTTCTGATTTCAGAAGCAGCTGTTTTATACAATGGAGTGGGGCTATGGGCAGCCAGGGAGGGCTCCAAAACAGCCTTAAGGGTCCACATGCAGTCTACTAACTGCCCTTCACCTAAACCTGTGCAAAGTCCTCCCCTTCTTCTCTTGCAATTTACCTCCCTGCTGTCTATTCCTCTCAGACACTTCTCTCCTTGGTGATCTTCCATATAAGAAGTGAGCTTGGTTGTGAGAGAAGTGCTAGGAGGAATACACCGTGTGGAGGAAAGCAGCAGGTTCAGCAAGAGCTCAGCTCCTCTCACCTGCTTGCCCCATCTGCTTTTAATACTGGATCTCTCACATTTTCCATTTTACACATAGCTGGGACTGATCCATATTTCAACATACAGTGGACCCTCGACTTACGGAATAATTCCGTATTGGAACGGTGGCTGCAGGTCAAAAAGTCTGTAGGTCGAGGCTCCATTGACCTACAATGCATTGAAAACAGATTAATCCGTAACCGGCCGTTTTTGTTCCATTTTTTTCCCAGTCTGTAGGTCGATTCTCCGGCTGCAAGTCGAACCTAAATTTTGCAGCCAGAGAAGTCTGTAACTCGAAAAGTCTGTAAGTGGAGCCGTCTGTAAGTCGAGGGTCCAGTGATCGGAACTAGTATAATCAATCTTTCTTGGCCCCTCTGATTAATAACTTTGAGTATTCAAATGATTTTTATTAGGTTCTCTATCTCGTTTCTAGTACTTATATCATTTTTATTTGTTTTAAATGAACTGAAAGAAAAATGATGGGAAGTTACAATTTATCCAGTATGAACATGCCACGGAGTTCAACCAGAAATCAGCAGGACCTACACATGGTTAATTAGAAAACATATCATGTCTTATGTGGTGTAAACATTGTGATCTGTTTGCCTTTACACTATTTCCTTGATTTTTGCTCCCATTAAATGTTGTTTCTGAAGAGATGGGTACTAACCTGTTTTCAATCTGAGAATGAACATTTTGCCATCTTTCAGTTAACTGATCTGCCTTCTCTTTGTGCCAGTCAAAGTCAAGGTCACGTTCCTTGTGTGTTTTAAACATTTGATCACTAATTGCCTTGGCTTTTTGCAGTTCATCTTCAAGGGCATGGAATACTTCTCTTTTTTCATCAACCTCTGATCGCCATTGCTGCAAATAAAATACATGATATCTCAAGGTAGATCATAATGTTATTACTTCAGAACAACATATGACATGCAACACACTATTTCCCAACCCCCTGCCCTCCAGATGTGATGGATTACAATTCTCATTATCCCCAGCCACCACAGCAACTAGCTGTCATGTCTACGAATAATGGGACTTTGATTCCAACACATCTGGAGAGTATTAGAGTCAGACTGGGCTGGCATAACACTATCACTAGGCATTCACCCTAAAACTACCAAGTTTTCATTCAAATACGGGTTACACCGTTAATTGTATTGTGAAGAAGAGGAAGACCTAAGCTAATTATAAAGGTGTCTACTTTTCAAAATGAGATTAATCTTCCCTGCTGTTCTCTTCACAACTGCAAAGGAAGTAGATGGAGTTGCAACAGACATAACTTGGGGGGATGAGGGGAATCTGTCCAACAGTTCCTCCTTTCTTGGAAACACAACTTAGCTGGAGTTTTCTGTTCCCTGGAGACTCAAGTCAAGGAAAGAGAAAAGTTGCTGTTCTTAAAGTTCTCTAGAGGAACAGCTGGTGCAGGAAAGCCTTCAGGACTATAAACTGGACCAGTTTGACTGCTTTCCATGTAATCACTATGATTTCTAACTTAGCTCTTAATGAACTACTACTGCAAAATGATGAAAAAATCAAACTGACAATATTTAAATAGTTAGCTGATAAACATTCCAGCCTTCTATGTTGTAAGCTGCCTAGAGTGATCGTATAGACCAGATGGGTGGGGTATAAATAAATAAATAAATAAATAAACAAACAAACAAACAAACAAACAAACAAACAAACAAATAATTTTTCTATCTTTCCCCCCTTCACAAAAGGCTTATATTGGTTAGCATGATTGAATGTTTTCCTTTTCCCTGTGTAGCTAGCTCTCTGTGTCACCTGGAGGAGATTTGGAGGGTTGTAAGTACCCTCCACAACAGGGTTTTGTTTTGGGGGCAGGGCTACAGTGGCTGCATCAAAGAGCAGAGATGACTGCTTCCCTTCCAACAGACACACATCAAAGTATGTTTTAATGAACTGATCAAAATATGTTTTACTTTCATGTATTACAGAAAAGCATGGCTACTTCAAATCATTGTGTTTTTTTAACACAACAATCATACCTTTAATGTATTCATCAAGCCGTCAATATTACTCTTGTCAGCAGTTAATGGATCTTCTTCACATAGTTTTGTCTCATACAGTTTTACTAGTGCTTCAGCTCCTTGAGTGTTTTTGAGAACCAAATTTACAGTTTTTAACCTGAAATTAAAGAATCATTTATTAACAATGGTTTCCACATTCATTCATCTACTTAAAGATGTTTTACTTTAACATGATCATTCTTCCATTTAATCATCTAAAAAGTATATATTTGTCATTAGTCTAAAGAGAAGCTTCAGATTCTGTATCTGTGATCTGTTGTCTAATTAAACATATTATTAAAGAAGAAATTAAAATGTTCCTCTCCCTTTTCTTTTTTATTTAAAACAGCACCATATAAGATTATATTTAAAAAGCTATACATGCTAATATCTATTACATTTCTTGTACATTAACTAATTATACTTTTATGAATTAACTAAACCACTTATTTCCGTATATTTTATCTGTAATGATTGTTTTTCATTGTCATTTATGATTCCTATATATGCAATAAAATGCCATCGACTAATACTAAAAGCATCTATTTATATTTCTCTTATTTATTCAGTTTCTTATACAATAATTCATATTTATCATTTTACCTATCTTGCCAAACATTATCATAATTAAGTTCCATAAAATTTAAGGGCCTTGATGCCTTACTTTTCTATGTAAATGGAAGACATTGAATAAATCTGATTCATATTCTGAATCACAAGGTTAAGCTCTGATCGCAAAGTGGGGACTGAGGGTGAACCAGCAGCTTGATTAAAGAAGTCATCACATTTGTCTGTGATGGTTTCCAAGTCTTCTTTGAGTCGGTCCAGCTCTTTTTTCAGTTTCTGCAGAATAGGAGGAAACAGTTAATTCTCAAAATGTTACAGTAAGCCTTCCATAACTAAGGAAATGAAGTCTATAATAGACATGAAAAATGGTGACGAGAAGAATAGATTGCCTTTACTCCCAGTGTTTCTTGCAGGACCAAATGAATCAGGAAGAAAAAGTGCAACCCTATTCTGACCCTGTCAGTGCTATGTGGATGACTTTTTGCCAGTAGTAATGTTGGTTGTAAGCAATGGACATACACAGAGTACTCATCCACCTATTGTTTAATAAGCATTTATGCTTCCAAAACACACCAGAACATAAAGTAGACCAAATTGCTAATTTCTCCCCTGTATCTGGCAATCTTTCAAATGTCAATACCACTTCTAATGTTACACCCAATGGTTTGAATTTTTAAAACAATAGACTATCTGAGTGAGTCCATATTAAAATTTATATAAGGGCTATAGCCTTTCCCAGTAGATTGGTCAAATCCTTTTGAGCCCATGACAATTGTTTGTGTGTTTTATTGATTACAGAAAAGCAGCATGAGTACTACACACATCCTCACATAATATGGTATGTAAAAGCCCATGTGACATAAAGACTATCTATAGGCACCAAATATACATCTGTATATCTAAGCTGCATATTTTCTCCTAGCTGTACTTCAAGATGATTAAGAAATGACACCCAAATTCTGGGGAGTTTTTTGTTACATGATGTAACATTCTCTGACCGCAGTTATGCAAACAGGGTAAATGTTATGGAAGATGTCAAAGCCCGACAAAAATGTATAATGTAGTATTGGTCAAGCCATGCCCACAATATGATTCATTTTAAACTATGAATGAAAAGGTTTAAACTGTCTTATTGACTATTTGATAATACTTACTGTTTTTAATTTATGTGTTAAGAAACATTTTGTTGTAAAATACGGTGGAATACTCTGAACAAAAGGCACAGTCTAAATATTTTAAAAAGTAAGTAACTAAGCCAACCGTATTTATTTTCGTGATGCTTATTTTTCATTCAACTATTACACCCTAACCAGTTTAGGAGGTATTTTATTGATGTAGGTTTTATATGAGTTCCAGAAGGAGGACGTTAGTCCTCAGAAACATTTTGTTAATACAGAACAAATAGGTTCAGCAGAAAGAACTTCATCCTACATTTTTAGCATAATGTATAGCTTGTCCTGGGCTATAGGGTTTTCAGACACCAATCCACATAGGCAAGCTTAGAAGATTCACCTCTTGTTCTGAAATCCGAAACACGCTTTCATGCAGGTCATCTCTCTCCAGTGGGGTTCGAATCTGCCTTATCAAACGATCTTCACAATTCTCCAAACGAAGTCTGATGTTCCGAACTTCTGAGATATATAGGTTGTAAACAGATTCCTCATGCTCTTCTGTTTGAAGAAAGATATGGACACATGTAAATTCAAGTATGCTTAAAGTCCTTTTGCCATCATAATCTATGGTCAAAGTCCTTCAGAGTTCACTGCAACTCTTTTTGAAATGTAAAGGGAATAGGTAATTTGTATCACCAATTACATGGAGATGAGTATCTTGTGTTTTTCGTTTCTAGGCTTCTCTATTGCATCTGAAACAGATTGTTTTTGTCCCCCAAAAGAAAATAAATGTGGAATTTCATAAACAGAGGACAACTTGCACATCTCCCCAAATGCAACAATGTAAAAATCAGACAAAAAAGAATTAATTTCTTGCTTTACAAGCATGCATCAACCTCATACTTCAAATCTCTGTCAAGCACTTTCTTTCTTATGTTTATGATGAAACCAGCCATGTGATCACCCCATCACAAAAAGTAATGTGCATATCACTTTAGTCATAGGTATTATCATTCCATTTGTATACACACAATTATGAACTGAACTGCATATGGTTTTTTCAAAGCTGATTTCATAGTTAAGATCATATTAAAGCTATAGCAGTGAATCCCTTATCACTTATTCCATATATATAATCAGCACAATATATCTCTGCTCTATACAGTGACATATAAATACACTTCAATCAGATATAATCTCCTAGCACATTCTTTTCTTTGGCAATATTAGCCTAAATGCATAATAGAATGCAACCATTCAGCTTTATGTAAATATTTACGTACTGGACATTTGACATTTTCAGCATGAATATGGAATATTTACAACAGTAAGAATAAATTTCAAAGACATTTTCTTAAAGTATATAGTGAATCCTTTTTTCAAAATAATGTAGGACCTGGTTATGACAGAATCCTAGGTTTATTATTAATGATGTTTAAATGAACCAATGTAAACAATAATGTTCCTAATATTTTACTTTGGTACAAGAAAAATGTTCTTCTGCATTTACAAACAAGCCTAATGGAAGATATTTCATTATTCAGCCTGCCAAAATGAGACTTTCTTCTGAGCAGTAAGAATGAGGACTTCAGAATTAATTTTAGGATTGCAAAAGAAATCTGAAACTATGTACCACAGCATGAAAATTTCATATTCAGTTAGTATGCATCGGTGCTAGTAAATCAAATTTGAAATATTCCATGCCCAAATCAACTCTTAGTGCCATTAACAGCAAAATAAACAAAAGAATAATTATTTTAGGGAGGGAAGACATTTAGCTCTCTTTTTTCTGTATCATGTGATTTTTCACAGGAACATCAACATCAGTATGCAATTTATTGATATCACAGAGAGAGAGAAAGCTGATATGGAGGTGATTACAGCTAGCCAATCCATGTAAATAATCACTCACATGAGCAATTAAAGATTGGGGAAAAGGAGATCTCACAAATATCTGTTAGTGGCTGAATTCCTGTTTCTGGAAGTTCTGCTGTTTAAGATTGATTATTAACTAGAGCATTTTTTTTTAAATGTAAGCATTTCCCCCTCCTACCACAAAGTTCCTATAGGTCCTGAGCAATCTCTTTCATCATGGGGAACCTGTGTGACCTGAGGGGCAGGGAGGCAGTCTTAACCAGCATGACTACAATAATTATGCAAACAGGATTTCAGCCATTATGCAATTTCACAAGAGAAATGTCATTACACCCTCACTGCACCCAAAAGTAGCATAATATGGGTAGCATCATTATTTGTAACATGTTATGTCAATGCTCCCTAACATCTATTCTTCTCTTCACTTTTGTGAAAGAGTCACACTAGTACAATTCATGTGTATAAAGCCAAAAAATGCACCAGAACCATCAAGCATCTTGGAAGTGATATTTTTATGCATCTCTTAATTGGCCTGTCTCACCTCTTTCTGCAGACTTCAGGAGTTCTTGGTAATACTGCTTGCAGACATTCACCTCCCTTTCCAACTGTGCAATGTCAGCAACAGAAAAGACCTTAGATTCCTGGCTGTCTTCAAGAAAATCATCAAAGCGGGACTGCAAGTTACTTAAAACTTGCTGATGTTCACCTGGCAAGAGAGTTTTTATCTAAAAAATAGAAAAAATTGGAGGCATAGATTAAAGCCTTTCCAGCAACATAGGTAAAGGTAAAGGTTCCCCTTGACAATTTTTGTCCAGTGGTGTTCGACTCTAGGGGGCGGTGTTCATCCCCGTTTCCAAGCCATAGAGCCAGCATTTGTCCGAAGACAATCTTCCGTGGTCACATGGCCAGTGCGACTTAGACACGGAACACTGTTACCTTCCCACCGAGGTGGTCCCTATTTATCTACTTGCATTTGCATGCTTTCGAACCGCTAGGTTGGCGGGAGCTGGGACAAGCGACGGGCGCTCACTCCGTCGCGTGGATTCGATCTTACGACTGCTTGGTCTTCTGACCCTGCAGCACAGGCTTCTGCGGTTTAGCCCACAGCGCCACCACGTCCCTACTTCCAGCAACATACCTCATTTAATAAACAACATCCCATTAAATAGCCTAACATAGGATTTTAATGTGCAAAAGTATGCTGCACATGTTGCTATTAAAGTTCTTGCCTCTATGGAGACTTAATTTCAGAAGAAACCTTGGGAGAAACCTTTCTCTTTGCTTCAGAAAGATTAGGAGAAGCCCATTACATGGACTCATTGAGATGCAAAGTATGTAATTATATACATGCAGTCCTGAAATACATGTATCTTTATACACCTATGTAAATCCCCCAGGGAGCTCTCACTGGACTTGATACACAGGTGTCAGCAGATACCAAGACATCATTTATATCTCAAACATTTTACTAAAGGAAACACCGGTGTAGTGCTAACCTAAAAGAATCATAAACACTATGTAAAACATGGAGCTGCCCTCAATCTTCACCTATCCCAGCAGTACAACAGAATGCAGGTATAACCAGAAAGCTGTTTTCTATATTATAATGGAATACTGAGTGTTGAAAAATGAACTGGTCACCAACTGGCATGGCTGCAATCAACTTTAGCTACCACAGATATGCTAGTCTGAATCACACAATCATTGACCAGGCAGATTGGCAATGAAACCTACCGAAGCAACATTACTAGCTCGAACTGTTTCAATTTCATTTGTCAAGTAGTGCCAGGAGACCACACTCTTCATGTTAATATGTGATTCATGCCACAGAGCAAGGACATTCTGATACTGCTGCTCAATTCTAAAATGCACAAAGTAGGGGAGGGGAAAAATGACAGGAACAAAATTAATTGAAGTGCAAGACAGAATCAAATGATTGTCTGTTATCAATTGCCCGTATAAACAGATTTCAAAGAAATGTTCCTGAAAGGCAAATAAAACCAACAAGGACTTCTATGTTTTGTGTATGCGCTATGCCAACACAAACCTGTTTGCTGTGTCTATTGCTTCTTTGTTGGGTGGAGGGACAGTAAAACACACAGAGGGTACCATGGCCTCATTACCACTCGGACTAATCACTTTCCATTTTGCACGATGGGAGTTGCTCGCCAGGACACATTCATCATCTTTGTAAATGGTTATCTAGGTTTTTTTCAACAGAGGACCAGAAAAATGAATGAGCCAAACATTCCTACTGCATTCTTACAAAGCACTTTTGAAAGCACTGCCACTGAAACAGTGATGGGGAGAAAATGGAGCAGTGACCCAACTCCCAAGACAAGGGGAAGCGCTGTTTACTATGGAAGGGATTTCCAGGACTGTATCATTAAGGCAGCCTCAACTATATTCTCATGCCCACAACCAATTTGAAGAAGCCAAAGGTTCCAACCTCAATTTGTCTGTAGTCACAGATGGCTTTAATTGGAATGGATGTCTTGAGTGGATTATCAGGGTTCCTTGGCTTCAGCTGAACTATTGTCTTGGCTCTTCCCACAAGGCCTGCCACTGTGCTCTTATACTGTAGGAGCTGTTCTTTTTCTTCCTGAATCCCATTTAAGGAAGGAATGGAGGAAGGAAGGAAAGAAAGGAAAAAAGAAAAAAAAATTAAAAACAGATTCAAGTATATTTTTCTTTTGCCTCTTTTCAGTTGCCTCTTTGTGTTGTTGTACAAGGCATATTATTGACATAGGGAAAACTGCCGAGACTAATTAAATCAAATAATTAATGTTTATTGTTAGTAGAAATATCAATATTTCTTGAAGAATGCAGATTGTGATCTACTTGAACAACAAAGAAATAACTGGGGCCAGCCACATGTCTTCCTTTTTCAAAAATAAGAACTAAGTGGAGTAGAGCCTCAGTACTGGGCACCACTTTCTAGACCTATTTAAACTGTGGTGGGGAAATTTCAAGATGAAAGGGATTACATTTTCTTCTTTGAAAGGACGTGATTTACTAATTCTACAAGATTTAACACTACGTATACATTATTAGCATTATCTAACTCCTAGAAGAGGACACAATGTTCCATATGATCATCAGTGACTGCATGTCTAGTGGACTGTGTCCATTGATAGACCTATATCTTTTTTCATTGAAAAAGATCTAAATGACAGCCTACTAGAAGCTGCTTCAAAATCTACTGGCAGTCAGAAGTTTGAATTATTTATTACCTTTAGACTGACTCAGTGGTGGAAATGGGCAGAAACTAACAAAATTAATGAGGTATTATGGACTGTATCCAACTGCAAGTTCCCCATAGAACAGAAATGTTGAATTAATAGAACTTAAAGACATGTTGACTAAACACATTCCTACTGATTTAATGGATCTACTGTAGTTGGGATGAACAACTGGACTGAGGCCTGTGACTGAATATAAGACTCTAATGACAGAGTACAAAGCTCAAGCCAAAGATTTCATCTTTCTGTTTCACTACCTCGATTTAAGGTGAGTTTTTTTATTCTTTAGTTTGTAAACTTTATTATGAAAATAATAGCATTATTTGAAAATAATTCCCTTGGATATTAGGTATGAACATGAATTTGACCCAACTCCGGGAGGCAGTGAAAGAGAGGAGGGCCTGGCGTGCTCTAGTCCATGGGGTCACGAAGAGTCGGACACGACTTAAGGACTAAACAACAAAATACAGTGGTGCCCCACATAGCGAGGTTAATCCGTTCCGGATTAACCATCGCTATGGGGAAACATCGCTATACAGAACTGAAAATGCCATAGAAATGCATTAAACTTAGTTTAATGCATTCCTATGGCTCCAAAACTCACCGTTATGCGATGTTTCCCCATCCGGCCGCCATTTTCGCACCCTCGGTAACCGAGGAAATCACGCGAGCGGCCATTTTGAAACCGCCGATCAGCTGGCCGAAAATGGGGCCGGCGCTGGGGCAGGAGGGCGGGGGAAGGCTCCCCC